TGCATGTGTGCAAAAATGCTTTGGCTATCCTTTAAGTTAAAACAAGTCTTAAAAATATGCTGCACTGTTCATTTCAAAGAAGTACGGATGGATGGAGAGCATGTTGTGTGATTTCTGATTTATTAGAAACCAGGAACAACCCTTTGGTATTATGGAGTTTTTCAATAAGCTGATTTTTGTGAGTTATCGGCGTACTGGTGTTATCAATGTCACAAAGTTGCTTTTTTGATTAGTTACCTGGAGTGTAGAAGCTAATCTTTCATTAACACTTTATAATAAGGTCTCATTTGTTAATGTACTAACTAACAATGAGCAATACATTTGTTACAGTGTTTATTAATCTTTTTTAATTTGAATGAAATAACCAAATTTTTTGTTCATGTTAGTGCATTAATGTTACTAATCGAAAATGAACTAACATAGATTAATAAATGCTGTAGTAGTATTGTTCATTCTTAGTTCGTTAAAGTAGTTAACTAATGAAACCTTATTGTAAGTTGTTCCCAATCTTTTTAAGTTTCTGTCCAGAACATTTCTTTGTTTAAAGGAATTTGAGTCTTAATCTTAAGGCTCTGAGCGTGTTAATTAAAATATAGTAGTTTTTTGTTTCAAACGCATTTCTCAGCATTTAACTGTGCTGGTGAAATGGCTTTAGTGACTGATGATTGGTCACTCGCTGCACCACATTGGAAAAAGGAATCATGGATATGTCAATGAACCTGGGTTGGTACAGAAAGGCATGGTTCATCAACAGTAACCATTTGTTGAATTATATTAAATCCTCAAAACAAAGCTTGCGTGTGCTTTGAGTGCTTGCTTGTTATGATCCTGCCAATTACTAAGTGTAAAGAGCCGGTCTTGTTGGCAAAGGCAATTTACACTAACTCTGCCCACCAATGTCTGGTTGGGCCACACAAGATTAAAAAACCCGAGTTCGAATGCGTCTTTTTTTCATTTATCATTTATTTTCAATAAAAATATAGAAAATATTTGAAAAGTGGAAAGTGCCTAACGATTGTTTATTATCGGTTAGGGGAAGGTGTTGTCCAAATAAGGTCTCATCCAAATAATAATGTAGTCATTTACACTATTACTGCATCCTGTTAATGTACAACAATACTGAGGTGCAAGTAGTATCCGCCAGAAATAGTATCTAACAACTCTTTGCACTTTCTGCTACAAAGTGTAAAAACAATATATCACTATATTCACTTAGTGTAAATGGCATCTACAGCTTTGCACTGTGTAAATAGCATCTATAATATATATATTTGCACTTAGTTTAAATCGCATCTATTGCAAAGAAAATATGCTATTTTCACTTGTAAATAGTGTCTAATTGCCTAAAAATTAAGGAGGAAAAACTAGTAGCTACTTTTGGGTACAGTTTTTATTTTATTTATTATTTTGGTCTTTGTTTCACCATAAGAAATCAGATATTTCTGCTAAGACATTCAGCTTTAGGCTCACTTTTGTTTTGTTTTTGTGTGCAAATCTGCATTATGGAACACCTTTTATTCTTTTGGGTTTGAAGTGTGGTGACCATTTTAATATTTCAGCCATGTTGTTGGAGGTGAGTGAAATAGGAGTGACCACAGGATGACCAAAACCAGCCAGAGGAAATGGACTGATGTCTCTGGTTAATGTTTAACCCTTCTCATAGGAACAGCACACACAGTCACAGCACTCAGCATTAATGGAGGAACTCAAAAAATGATCTAACATTCAAAGCAGAGGCAAATAAGAGAGAATAATGATTCACAAAATTAGGGTTCAGCACTACCAACAGTTGGTTGTTTCCGTTGTAAATTGTTTGTCCTAATATTAACTAGGTGTTGTGTAAAGAGATCTGGCTTTTTTCTTTTTGTATGGAATTTGGGACTTGATGCTTTTGTTACTAAGGTAAGTGTCTTTGTTCTGCATTGTTTTTAATACTTATCGGGTTTATAATGCAATATGAATTATATAATGCCTTTTAAAAATATTTTCAGTTGTGATGCCTGCCTTTGTGCAAGGAAAAGCCAATAATGTGCAAATAACTGATCTACCTCGCTACGTTGCAGAGAGAACGATTTTAAATCTGCATTGTGTGTGGGTTCACTATACCATGAAGGCTGGCATGTTTTGCATGTATTTAAAGAGTTTTGAGCACATTTGCCATTGATTCATGAATTATTCTTAAATTATTCCAACAATTTGTGGACAAATGGTTTGTCGAATGATTTACAGACATTTGTGTAATCCTTCATGAATGAGGCCAATTGCATTTTTGTTGTACTTGATTACATTCTAAGAGTGTACAAAAAAATCTAGATTAAGAGTATCATATTTGTCCTCAAACTTAAACTTTTATTCATCAATACTCTCTGAATTTGCAGATGCACCCCATTCTCTAAATGTTAAACCACCCTTAACCTTTTTTCCAGGGACTTGACCAGTTTTTTTGTGGAATAGCCAAATCCTGCTGGAGCATATTTCCAGAGTTAATGAGCTGGATTCTGAAGCGTTACACCTGGGAAGTGACTCTAAACTGGCCATAGTATCACACAGAGATCCAGCAGTGGGAAGGTTAGTCATGTGGAACTCTCAACCTAAGAGAAACCATGCGGATATTTTCAGAAATGAACAAAATTGTGATATCCACCAACACGGTGAAACCGTCATTGAGGTTTAAAAAAAATACAAGCTCTACCTTTCATATTTAAATTCTGCACGAGGTGTAAACATCTGAAATAAAATGGCTCTATTGCATTATTAGACCAATGTTGTTTAAAAATATTAACTCTTGACAGTACAAACAAGTTAAATATTACAAATTGTAGTTAATTCAGTGACATTATTTCTATTTCATTCACCATGGAAGGTCAAGTTGAGCTCATACATCACTCTATAAAGGTCACAGCATTACATGACTCTACACAAATCAATGTTCTATTTTTTTTACAACATTTCTCATCAAATTTATAGCTTTTATACATTGATTCCAAATTAATAACTAAGAACATCAACAAATTTCATGTTTATTATATTTAACGGATGTTCAGCTGTTCTTTAATAGTGAACTTAATTTTGGATCGTCAGTCATCAAAGCTCTGATGAAAACACTGGAGATGTCGTGATGTCACAGACACATTAAAAAAAAACGTACAGATCATGAAATTATTGACTTTAGTAGATTACGGTGTGTCCATTGTTACTGCAAATCTGCGTCAGATTAGTAACAGACTAGATTTCAGTTTTGAGTGGAGCATAGGGCACACCAACTGCGATTTTACAGTTCTGGCTAATATTTGGAACTAATTCAAACATAACAATTTATTACGTCAGGTAAATGTATCATGCCAATTTCATAATCAGTTCAAAGATAATCAATACTATAACATCAAATGCTCAGAGATAAAGAGTAAAAGATGTACCTGGCTCAAGAAATACATAATGCTGAGTGTCTAAAAGACACTCGACATTATGGGCCGATCTCATTACAGCCTCTTGTGCTCTTTCTTTAAGTACTCAGACCGAGACAGAAACTTCTTTCACATGGAAACATTTGCTAACAATGGGAATTTGCATTTTGAGTTGACACCTTTTGAGGGCCGGATGCCATTTGCCTGGAAGACAAACCCTCCTCTGTGTGAACGTTATCTCTAAACTCTTAAAAACGTTATTACCTTTTGGTTTACTTCTGTGGAGAATGAGACATTTGTACCAGTCGCACTGAGACATTTCAAATGATAGAAAATGATAATTGATAATTATTCACATTAAACCATAGATTTTTGGGTGAATTTCGGTGATCTCAGCATGAGAGAGAGAAGGAACGGGGGAAGAGGGAAAGAGATGTAGATTAGGATGATACTGAGGTAAGACTTGCGTCTCAAAGGGTGATGCTAACTTCACGAGAAGCTTTCATGTTATTTTATTTTTAATTAGTCTTCCCACCTCCTTAGTCTTTCTTCCACAGTCTCATGTGACTTTGCCCATTTGTTCTCAGTCACCCCCACCAAACCCACGGCACATTTTAGGGGGTCTGTTAAAACTCAAAGGGCTCAGAGGAGGAATGAGAGTCGCTGCTTCCCACTGTAACTTTATCCATTGGTGTCCCTGTTGGACCGTGTCACTTTAAAAAAGCAAGTGTTTTTTTTTTCTGTTTTTTTTCTTCTCGTTACTTACTCTTCCAATTTTTTTAAGGAGGCACTGCCTCCCTTGCCTCCTCCTCCTCGGATAATATCACACAAGCAAGTCTGCAGAAAGAGTCACTGAAGAATCCCCAGCCCTGTTGAATGTGCCTGTGTGGAATGAGCAAAAAGATGAACGCAGTGATGCTTAAAGAAATTGATTTTGAACAGTACCTTACAAACCTTTAAAGACAGGCCTACTGTCAGTTGATTGATAATTGATGGTATATGATGAGGCCATTTAAAAAAAAAAATACTTGTATTCAACAGCAAAATTCTGGTGAAATAAACAAATTATCTATGATTCTGCAAAAAAACCTCCTCCAATCTGAGGATCGCGACAAAGGCAGCTGAAAAAGTGGACGGGCACTGTTGCTGCTTGGCCAATCGAATTCAAGAACTGTTGTATCAGTATAAAGTAAACATTCATTGTTTTTACTGTTTTGTTCAATTAAGTATCCCTTTTATGTTTTCTTTAGGGATATTCAACATTCAACCAATCACCGTGTGGCGAATCAAAAATCAAACTACTGTAAATTCCTTTCATGGGCCGTGGTTTCCTTAATCCATCACATAATGAACAGGAGAGGAGTTTACTGGAGGAAGGAATTGAAGGATCAACAGATCCGCAAATAAACCCGTACATGATCAGCAATGTGGGTGGACTCCCCAGCTCCTTCACCCCTCAAAAATGTGTCGGTGCATCTGACACTTTGCAATATCTGTTGATTCCATCAACTAAAGAATTGGTTTAAAAAAATAATAATTCTGGTTGAAGAAGGAATTGAAGAAACTAGTGTAAAATCCAAGACTTGCTGCCCTGCCAACATCTACCTTGCTCCATGAAGGCCGCATTAGAAACCAACTGAAGCAATGAGGTTTCAACTGAAGTATTACTTGCATTACTTGGTTCTATTGGGCTTCAGCTGTGTAATTTCTACCTATGGCCCATATCAGAGGGCCCAGAAGACAGGGGACATACTGCTGGGGGGGCTTTTCCCGATACACTTTGGGGTGGCCTCCAAAGACCAGGATCTTGCAGCAAGGCCAGAGTCAACTGAGTGTGTCAGGTAGAAACACAACATGCTAAACTTTTCAAATGTGGTTATTTTTTTTTAAGTGGTTTTCAAGGTCTTTTAACTGACCTTTGGTAATTAACACAACACTTTGATGACTAACCCTTCACATAATTTTGCGTTTTATGTATTTGGGGAAAGATGTATTTTACAGCCATAGCAAATGCAACTCTTAAAGGGATTGTTCACCCAAAAATTAAAATTCTGTCATTAATTACTCACCCTCATGTTGTTCCAAACCTGTAATTCATTTTTGAAACACAAATGAAGGTCTTTTTGATGAAATCTGAGAGCTTTATGTCCCTCCATAGACTAATTCACAACTACCGCTTCAAAAAGTTAATAAAAAGATCCTAAACTAATCCATATGAATTGAGCGGATTAGTCCAAATTTTCTGAAGAGACTCAATTGCTTTATATGACAATTTAGGCTTTTATTCACATATAAACATTGATCAACTCACACATCAGTGGTAAACAGAAGCTCAAGCATGTTTGCTTGACCTGCGAGAACCAATAAGGTTCATTCTCGTGTTACGCATCACGTTTGAGCTTCAGCGAGAGGCTTGTTCTCGCGCATCAAGCAGGTTCAGTTCAGCTTCTGTTTATGTTCGCTGATCAATGTTTAAGTGTGAATAAAATCCTAAATTAAATGTTCATCAGAGAGAGAAAGCTCTCAGATTTCATCAAAAAGATCTTAATTTGTGTTCTTAAGATGAATAAAAGTCTTACAGGTTTGGAACAACATGCGGGTGAGTAATTATTGACAGAATTTAAATTTTTGGGTGAACTATCCCTTTAAGAACTTTAATCAGCATAGAAAGCCATATTTAGTATGAGGTAAAAGAAAACACAGCTGTACTTAGCTAGTGTTTGTTAGCTTACATATACCAATCAGTACAATCTAATGAACATATTTTATGTCTATCTCACAGCCTGTTTTCTTTTGTGTCAAATTACACGTTAAGTCAATTCTAGATCCATTCCTTATTGTTTAACTTGACTACTGTAAAAAACAAATATGACCCAAAGTGTGAGTCTTTATAGAACTACACTTTCTTTTTCCAGGTATAACTTTCGTGGATTCCGTTGGCTACAATCTATGATCTTCGCTATAGAGGAGATCAACAACAGCTCTACTCTTCTTCCAAACCTCACGCTTGGCTATCGTATATTTGACACATGCAACACTGTCTCGAAGGCCCTGGAGGCGTCGCTAAGCTTTGTTGCACAGAATAAGATTGATTCGCTCAACTTGGATGAGTTCTGTAACTGCACAGGGAACATCCCATCAACCATTGCAGTGGTTGGGGCGTCTGGATCTGCAGTGTCTACAGCAGTGGCTGACCTAGTGGGCCTCTTCTACATTCCTCAGGTGCTTTTGCATTTTAACATCAATTAGAGTAGTTTCTGTGGGAAATTAAAAAGTAACAAATGGGCTTGGTAAATGTATTATGAATCAGTTAATTTTGGAAGAAGATCTTAAAGACAGTTGCATTACTGGATTACCTTCAATAAATGCTTTAAGGCAAGACACCACAGGTGAATTGGGTACAACTTTTAACTAATAGATATCACTATACTTCCTTAGTTTATTAATCGCTGTATTAGGTACAGTTGTTTATGGAATGTTATGTTTCAATGATGCATCATTAAATATACACTAATTTGCATACTTTTCTGAACATTGGATAAAGCCAGGTTCAAAATTATTTTTTCATTTTATTGACACATTAAAGGTTTTTACAGAGGGGATTTTGGATACCTCTTTTTATCATTTCATAAATCAGAAAAAATGTCAACAACCAGAAAAACAGAAAAAAAACTTAGGAATAAAAGGTTTTATAAATCAGATGAATGATATATAAACGAACCCCTCAGTAAAAACTTTCATAAAGTGGAGATTTCTGGCTAATTTTGAGAAAATAGCCTTTATGTATTGTAATTGAAATCTAATAATGCAAATGGATAAAGTGTAATAAAATAAGCACTTAAATGTGTACTTTGGATGCTTTTTTTCCTTTCTACTTGTTATTGAAGAAAATTAGCTCAATCTCAAAATTGAACAATTCATGAAAAAAACAAAGGTTTTATCTGTAGTGTCTTGCTTTAAAGTAGTAGTTCACTTAAAAATAAAAATTCTGTCAGTTACTCACTATTATGTCATTCCAAACCTAATCCATTTTTTTATGTGAAACTCAAAGGGAGAAGAAAGTACCTGTATGGCTGCGAATGTCTGAGACGTTACAGTAGTCCATGCAACACTATAGAAGGCATACGTATTCTTAAGCCAATAGCAAAGTGTGATGAACAGACTAAAATTATTAACCCATAACGATAACTGATGAACCGTATGTGTCAAATGAACATCGATGACATCAAACCTCATTGTTTCTCACATGTCTTTTGACATTGTCATCTCAAACCCGACATTAAGCTTCAGAAAGCGCCATATTTGATTGAAAATTTGTAATTTAAGTCTTTTCCTCAATGCTGAAAAAGAAACAAAAATCATATGGCTTTGGAGGACTTGGAATATATATCATATGAGACCTCCATACTTTTTTTGTGTCCTTTTTGGAGCTTGACAGATATGGTCTGTCTCTATGAATTGTCATTTTCTGAAAAAGCTGCATCTAAAATGAACTGTCCCTCTCCTCTACTGTCTTTCAGATCAGCTATGCTTCATCCAGTCGCCTTTTGAGCAACAAGAATCAGTACAAATCCTTCATGAGAACTATCCCCACAGATGAGTATCAGGCTATTGCTATGGCTGCCATCATTGACCACTTCCAGTGGAACTGGGTGATTGCTATCGCCTCTGATGATGAGTATGGCCGTCCGGGGATCGAAAAGTTTGAGAATGAAATGTTTCATAGGGACATCTGCATCGATCTTAATGTTTTAATTTCACAATACATTGATGAAGCTGAGATTCGCCGCCTGGCAGATCGCATCGAAAACTCAACCGCCAAGGTCATTGCTGTGTTTGCTAGCGGACCAGATGTTGAGCCACTTATTAAAGAGATGGTGAGGCGAAACGTCACAGACCGGGTCTGGTTGGCGAGTGAGGCATGGGCCAGCTCTAGCCTGGTTGCCAAGCCAGAGTACATCGATGTCATGGGAGGAACGATTGGCTTTGCACTGAGGGCTGGGCACATACCCGGCTTTAAAGAGTTCTTACAGCAAGTCCATCCAAAGAAGTCCAGCCACAATGAATTTGTGAGGGAATTTTGGGAGGAGACTTTTAACTGTTACCTAGAAGATAGTCCAAGAAATGAGGACAGTGAAAATGGCAGTACAAGTTTCAGACCTCTGTGCACTGGTGAAGAGGACATTGCAAGTGTAGAGACACCGTACCTGGACTACACGCACCTAAGGATTTCTTACAATGTGTACGTGGCTGTTTATGCCATAGCACAGGCACTTCAGGACATACTTACCTGCACACCTGGAAAAGGGTTGTTTGCTAATGGCTCTTGTGCAGACATTAGGAAAGTTGAAGCATGGCAGGCGAGTTACTTACTTACCAGACAACATGGGTTCCCCTCTTCTCTTCTCAATTGTAGGAAAGTTTCATACAAATGTAATGATATTCATATGCCTCTCTTTTTTTTTATTCTAAAAGGTTCTGAAACAGCTGAGACACCTCAACTTCATAAACAGCATGGGGGAGAGGGTGCGTTTTGACAACGGCAGTGAGCTCTCAGCAAATTATACCATCATAAACTGGCATCGATCACCTGAGGATGGGTCTGTTGTATTTAAGGAAGTTGGTTATTACAGCATACATAACAAGAACGGGGCCAAACTTTCCATTGACAAGACAAAAATACTGTGGAACGGCCGTCTTACTGAGGTAAGCAACAGTACCCGAATTTCTTGGCACTTAGATTAGAGCAAATGTTATGCAAATAGCCTAGCTTTTATTAAAGCGATAGTTCACCCAAAGATGAAAATTCTGTCATCAATTGCTCACTCATATGTCGTTTCAAACCCATTAGACTTTCGTTCATCTTCAAAACACAAATGAAGCTAATGTAAGTTAAATCTGACCGTCCATTGAAAGTCTATTAACCCACAACTCTGATGCTTCAAAACGTTCATAAAGAGATCATTAAAGAAATCCATATGTATTGAGTAGTTTAATCAAAGTCTTCTGAAGAGACACAATCGCTTTAAATATTAAAATAACAGAGCACATAGATCACTCAAATTAAATAAACTCAAGCTTTACATGCGAGAACCAGAGAGGTTCATTCTTGTGTCACGCCAACACATCTGAGCTTCCTCACGAAACAATGAGGTTTGTTCTCACGTGTCATGCAAGTACGGTTGAGCTTCCGTTTACCGTATTTAATGTGCTTTATTTATGTTAGCTGATCAATGTTTATATGTGAATTTTTGGGTGAACTTACCCTTTAACTAATGGTGAACCCAAAGGATCCTTGTCCAGTCATTTACAGCAGCAAATGTGACTTGTTTTATTACATGAGCCAATTCATTGTTTCTCTTTTCTCTGCCAGGTACCATTTTCCAACTGTAGCGACGAGTGTGAACCTGGAACCAGAAAAGGAATTATTGATGGCAAACCCACATGCTGCTTCGAGTGTACAGAGTGCTCAGATGGCGAGTACAGTGATCATAAAGGTTAGCAAATTAATAATTCAGCAACTTAATATCTATTAGAACAGTCATTTTTTCAATGGTGGAAAGAGACAGTATCAAAGTATACAAACATGAGTCAAGACTTAAAGCAGGGGTGTTCAATCCTGCTCTTGAAGGACCACCTTCCAGCTGAGACTTCCTAGCCCTTAATTAATTAAACACCTAAACCAGCTAATCAAGGTCTTCAGACAGAGTCCCTCCAAAGCACAGAGCCTTGAGAATAGCCACAAAAAAGGACACAGGAGGAGTTTTTTTTTAATGGATGTCAATGGAGGAGAGGCTTCAGTATGCTGAATAAACTGTTTTTATGAAGAACGGCTTATCACGTAATGAATTGACAGCCTGTCTGCTAATCTAGTTCAACATATTTTCCAATTACAATTTTTTTATTGATGTAAAATTTTTTGCTGTTTTATAAGAGAATTTTGTGACAGGTATGATTTAGCATCAGGCACTTCTTATTCATTTATATGATATCCTGTCATACAAATTTGACTCCAGTTCAATGCTGTCAAGGCCTTTAATGTGTTTGGTTAATAAGGCATATGTGATCCAAGTTGACCGTTACGCTGTCTCCAATGGTAGAGCCACAAAGGTTGATATCTTTCCATATAAGAGAGTTTAACTGTCTCATCTTGAAGGTTGTGCCTTCCAGAGTACGTCATCAAGGTTGTCTCATTTCAGAAAACTTACTATTGGAAAATTGACCGTTATTCCTTGTGAGGCGTAAATTATTATAATCTGTATATGGCCTCAATGATGAACGAGGCCTCCAGAAAGCGCAGCCTTCTAAACGAGACAGCATCTGATTTAGGATGTCTAGAAACTAGTGAAGTTTGATTCTTAAATTAATTGTTCTTTTAAGCTGGTAACTGGTCGAGTCAGTTCACAGAATCGAACCTTAGTTCTTGGTTGATGATGACTCAAGCACATATCGAAGTACAACGCAATCTCATTGTATTGCACCAAATAAGCCAATGAGCATGTCCAGATGACTTACTGAATCAAAGAATCGATTCGAAATGAATGAACCCTCAGAAAACTTTGACAGTTAGAACCGACTTGTTTCCTTCTTTTTGAGTAGGTTATTTTTGATTTGTTAATTTCAAAGTGATTCTTTGGTTCAATAAACTGTCTGGACAAGCTCATTGGCTCATTCGGTGTTTACGTCATCAACCCAGAACTAAAGTTTGATTCAGTCCAATTCTGGGAATTGACTCGACCGGTTACGGGCTTAAAAGAATGATTCATTCATTCAAGAAATGAACATCACTACTAGAAATGTTCTGGCTGGTGAGTTGGAGCTAAACTCCTGGGCTGTGTTCGAAATCACCCCCTATACCCTCATTCACTATTCCCTACATCAGTCCACTAATATAGTCCACTTGAAAGAGTGAATGTAGACGAGTGAGTGAATTCGGACACTGAGTGTCCCGGAAGGGCTGCTGCTTTGGCATAGGTTGTGCTTGCTGTTTAATAATCATTTGAATTTAGCAAACTGGCATACACTCGTTAATGCGGTGCATTGTGGGATTGAATGAGTGCACTCGATAAGCATTTTGGACTCCACTACAAGTGGCCGTCCCCTCAAATAGTGCCCTATTTAAGGGTATAGGGGGCGATTTCGGACACAGCACTGGAGGGTTACCATCCTGTAGAGTTCAGTTCCAACCCTAATCAAACACACCTGAAACAGCTAATCAAGGTGTTCAGGATTACTTGAAAATTACAGGCATGTTGGAGCAGGGCTGGGACCAACGTCTGCAGGATGGTTGCTCTCCAGGAGCAGAGTTGGCTACCCCGACGTAGTCGTAGTTATAGTTAATTAGAACATTTGACAATTACATTTTTAATATCAAAAGTTGTATCCGTTAACATTAGTTAATGCACTTTGAACTGACATGAACAAACTGCATTTTATTTACCAGCATTAACAAAGATTATTAAATGTAAAGACTGTATTCTTAATTGTTAACTGAAGCATGTTAAGCACTAATGTTAAGCACTAACTGAAGCACTAATGTTAAGAATCGAGACCTTATTGTAAAGTGTTAACGTAATTATCAGAATATTGTATTTTCTTCCTGAAAGACAATTAAAATATATATTTTATTTTCTCCACAGATGCCAGTGTTTGCTCTAAATGCCCAAACAACTCCTGGTCTAACGGCAATCACACTTCCTGCTTTCTGAAGGAGATTGAGTTTCTGTCCTGGACCGAACCTTTTGGGATCGCTTTAACCTTATTTGCGGTGCTTGGGGTTCTGTTAACAGCTTTTGTGTTGGGTGTTTTTGTGCAATTCCGTGATACTCCAGTTGTGAAAGCATCCAACCGAGAGCTCTCATTTCTTTTGCTTTTTTCGCTTATCTGTTGTTTCTCTAGCTCTCTTATATTCATAGGCGAACCACAGGACTGGACATGCCGTGTACGGCAACCAGCCTTTGGAATCAGCTTTGTGTTATGCATCTCTTGCATTCTTGTTAAAACCAATCGTGTCCTACTAGTGTTTGAAGCCAAAATCCCCACCAGTCTTCACCGTAAATGGTGGGGACTGAACCTGCAGTTCTTACTAGTGTTCCTGTTCACATTTGTCCAAGTGATGATCTGCGTGGTTTGGTTGTACAATGCTCCACCAGGGAGTTACAAAAACTATGACATTGATGAAATCATCTTCATCACCTGTAATGAGGGCTCCATGATGGCGTTGGGATTCCTCATTGGCTATACATGCCTGCTGGCTGCCATCTGTTTCTTCTTTGCATTCAAGTCTCGAAAACTTCCCGAAAACTTCACGGAGGCCAAGTTCATCACATTTAGTATGCTCATTTTTTTCATCGTTTGGATCTCCTTCATCCCTGCGTACTTCAGCACGTACGGCAAGTTTGTCTCAGCGGTTGAGGTCATTGCCATTCTGGCTTCCAGCTTCAGTTTGCTAGCCTGTATCTTTTTCAACAAGGTGTACATCATTCTCTTAAAACCATCCAGGAACACAACTGAGGAGGTTCGCTGTAGCACAGCAGCTCATTCTTTCAAAGCAGCAGCGAAGGCGACTCTACGACACAGCTCTGCCTCCAGAAAGCGATCAGGCAGTGTGGGGGGCTCCTCTGCCTCCTCGCCCTCTTCATCGATCAGCATGAAGACCAATGGGAATGAAACAGAGTCCCCCTCTACACGCAGACACAGTCAGAAACCAAGGGTGAGCTTTGGAAGTGGAACAGTCAGTCTCTCCTTAAGCTTTGAGGAAGCTAGAAAGAACTCGGTGAAGTGATTAATAAGAACTTTTGGATAAAGAATATGATAATCAACCGTCGTATCAGTCTCCAAAAGTCCTTTTCTCCAAAGTCATTTTCTAGAATCAACCTCCACTAAATGTGAAAACAGCCAGAACACCTGTGCTTCAGGCACAGACTAATCTCTGTCAACAATGCTTAGACCTGCCAGAAGAACTCACTGACACAAAAGAAAAGACTCATTTTCGTGCAAGCCATTTGTTGTCTTTCATTGGCACTTTTTACGTCACTCTTTTTAAGGCATCTGTTATATGTCTTAAATGTAACACAGAAGCAGATAAATAAAACAAAAACACCTGATTTATGTCTAATGTGATTTTCTAGTCCCTTGATAATAGTTGCACTATGTCTCCTGTTTATATTACCAGAGCCAAAGGTCTTTAAACCTGCTCCAGGAACAGGGTTGAGAAACACTGCTTTAAAGCAGTAATATGTTAATCGAAATACTTGTCCTGAAGGTTTTATCCTATTTAGAAATTCACTATTTTTACAGATATTTTAAAATTATATAAATGTACATGAACCAGGGGCCTCATTTATACAATGCACATAGGATTGGATTTGATACTAAATTCCATAGATTTTATTCTACGTCCAAAAGTGAGAAGTAAATCTGGATTTATAAAGGTAGAAACTGACATGAAAATGTTCTTATGCATATGCTAACTTAAGAACATATAAACAATTTTTGGTGCTCATATGCACACGCTGGATTCCCTTGCCCATTGATGACTTCTGATGAACAATTAAGAGATTTTTGTTGCCATTCTGTAGGTGAAGTTGATTGTGCTTGAATTTAAGATGAACAGTGACTTCTTTAAAAAAGGATGCATTTAGGAAGCTTTTTTTGTGCATACAGATGTTTTATAAATCATTCATAGCAATGTAAGCAAAGTGAACAATTAAACCATATAGATTTTTGGACCAGGTGAATTTCAGGTGATTTCAGCATGAGAGAGAGAGAAGAGAGGGGGGAAGGGAGAGAATTGTAAAATGGGAGGTGATCAAGATCAGCTCAAGTGTGATCGTGTCTCGAATGGCGATGTTAATATAGCAAGAGAGTTCAGATGTTAATTTCCTTTGTTTTCTCAGAGAGTTGCCCTCTCTCCCAGTTTTTCCAGTCTTACATTTTTGAAAACTGTTCTTAAACCACAATGGATCATTCAAAAAGGCGTGCCATCATGCTTCGCCAGTTTTTAATACAAAGAAACCTTGTTCATAGAGAGATTACAAGCAAAAAGGGAAAGGAACAGATCCTGTAATACAGCTCATATCTACAGTACATCCGACTGCTTTTCAGAAATGCTTTTCAGAGAACCCGACTTCAAAGCATTAAAAAACGGCAATTTCTCTTCCTCTATAGCTGTTCGCCTTCAGAATATTAAATATATATATAGCGAAGTCCCTGAAGTCTTTGGTTGTAGTTTCGGCATCTGCCTGCAGGTGTTGGGATGGTTAACAGCATCTGTGTCAGTATGACTCCAGCCAATGACGTCCCTTCAGAGCCTGTATTTGCGGAAATACTTCAGTACAGTATATGGTCTTGAGCTGAGGGTGCTGCTGCTTTCACTGTCGTAAGTATTTTTAACCTTTATTTAGTTTCTACTTTTCATATATGTTTGTGCTCTCGTCTAAAAATACCTGTGCTAACCTAGATAGCAAACTAGCATGCGAATCGCTATTTTGTTTTGTCGAATGTGCGACCATGCTAAATCACGCTGTCAAATAACGTGAGTGGTCACTTAATTTTAAGGAATGATGAACCGATGTCGAATTATTTAAGTCGATAAGGGATAATATACAGTTATCCAAATAATACAAGATTGATTAGTTTATAGTGCAGTGCAGTTAGACCCCCACCCAGCCATGATATACAATGTTTTTTCTTTCGGCTGAGTCAAAAGTAAAACAAAAAGCAACAGTTTGAACATATTTAGGGCAATACATTCGTAAACAATACAGTTTATAAATTGTTTGACGTGGCAAGGACAAGACAAGGTCCTGTTACAAAAGAAACTGATGACGAAATGCACACAGTAGACCTAAACCACTGAAGTATGTCAACACGAAACATGAGAATTATAGTGGAGGATGGTGGTGACAGAAGGTGTGTGAAAAGGAAAACGAACAGTATTGTTCAGGGTGGATAAACCTGAGACAGACTAACAGGTAACACCTGCTAGTGAGGAAAGTTATGTGATAATGGTTAATTGATGAATTAAATCTTTTTTGTGTGTGTGTGTGTAAATGTATCTTTTATTTTTGCTAACATATGGCCTCTGTATGCTTGTTACAAAGCATCCCAGGTGCACCTGAAGTTGGTTGAGTGAATACAAAAATTTTGCAGAGCTGTAATCTAGACAAGGTAATTATGATAAAATCTAAAGATAGAAAGATGAAGTTTGATTTATTTTACAGTTTGTTCTCTTCATTTTACTTTTTTTCACAGTGCTATGACTAGTCTGTGCTAAGATTACATTTTGTTCATTCTCACTGTTTAGTTTTTTTGTAGTTCACTTTAATATTACTGCCGTGTGACAAATGCATTTTTAAAATTATCAGTAATTCATGTATTCTCTCAGGCCCTGTTTACACATGGCATCGAGATGCGTTTGTAGGTGTAAACAGGAGTCTCCCTCGTCTACTTGTAATCCGATCGACCAAAACGCATCTTAATACCAGGTGTAAACCGGGCATTAGTTAACATTAACACATGGTCAAGAAAAAGTCACATCAACCATTCTAATACAATTGGGGTTTTTTTACAGACTTGTCACAACAGTTACTTCAACTGAAGTATTTTTCCTCTTCAGATGAAAAAATGAACAAAAAAACAGATGAAAGAGACTTTTGGAGGAACTCTTGTCAACTTTAAGAGTGATTGTTTAACTTGGAGCAGATGCTCAGATGTCTCTTGTTTGCCGTTCTCTGGATTTCACCCCAAACTAAACTTCAGTCATGGGAATCTTTCCCTACATGTCCAAGATCATGAGGAAGGGGAAGTTTCTGTTTCTTCTACTGTTGTGCCTTTGCGTTGTAGCATGGATAGCAACATTCTCAAATGATGACGCAGTTAAAACTGCCCAGGAGGAATCAAATCCACCTGACGACGATAAGAGTATCGGGGGCTTTCGTCAGCTGGAGCTGGAGTCAGAGATGATGCAGAGCATCGAGGAGCGTGTAGAGACGCCTGTAGAGGAGCAGTCTCCCAAACAGAGCTGTCCAGAGCATTCACCCCTACTCCGTGAGTGTGCTCTCATTTTATCTTTAATACGTTTTTGTGGGTTAATCTTGACTGAGGTTGTGTTCTGTTTGCTTGGTTAGTTTTGTCCGGACCAAAAAACAAAAAACTTTTAGTCCTTGACTTGTCTGTTTAGCGTTCACATTGGCATATTAACACCGAACCTAAAGGCATATGTTCACAACCTGATTGGTTGGCTTTTATTTCGAGACGGAACTTACCGAACATCCAAACAATGCTGTGCTCTCTGGAATAAATGCACTCGTTGAATGTGCATAGACGAAACTATGATGGTATTTTGACCAGCTGAGAACTCGTGAAGAGCTTATAAAATGTGTAAAAGAGTCAAAACAGTGTCGGGAATCCCTCCGTCACACACAAACAAAGATCTGCTGTGAGGAGACGCGTTTAGGACACCTGTACTGAACCGTGATGAGCAACATCGCCATTATGACGAGAAAAAACAGGCATGCTTGAGCATTCTGTCCTTGTTAGTGTCGCATCTTGTGACATCATGTCCTGTTTTTGGTTCGTTTACATGTCTTTGGTCCGTGTTGCGTTCATATTTTATTCGAACTTCACCAGAGTTCGTTTGGAAGCGGAGCGAAACTCATCTTTTCAGTGTCTCGGTCCTCTTGTTTGCTGCACCAGGGTTCAGTGTTAAGTGTGAACACACCCTTTAAAAAGAACACAATATTGACCAACGACATCTAAACTAACCAAAAACAGGACGTGATGTCACAAGATGTGAGCCTGTAAAGGACAGAATGCTCAAGCATTCCTGTTTTTTCTCGTCATAGTGGCGATGTCCACATTCAAGCATTTTATACAATGGGCTTAAACAGCTCATCATTTTGCAGCAGATTTAGTTTACAAATAACTGATAGTCATGACCTAAATATGATTTCCATTTACAGTGATTACTTAAATTTGGCTTTAGTAAGTTATTTTTCACACCATCTGTCGCGCACACACTCAAGCTCTGAGGAATTTGGGATGAACAATTTGGTGAATTGTTAACTGTCTTTGACTGGATGAGTTGATGACTCGAGAACAGCTGCAATCTGACCAGTCCAACAGGTTAATTGAAAAGTGTCAATTTCTATAGTTTGATATAATGAGAAACAATGTGTTTTTATGAAGTATGATATTACTCTTTGGACTGTGGTAAAGTAAAAGTAAAGGTTTCCCAAAATGAAAATCTCTGATAAAGTAACTAACGATACTTGAAAATTTGACTTATGTGTACAGTAACGAAGTAGATGCGCATTTGTTGCAGTCCATTGCATCTCATTTTATGTTTCATGGAAAAAAGAAATGATACCGAATTGGAATTACATGTGTATATATTTTTTTAACATATCTTCTAAACATTTGGAAATCTTACAGTAGGTCTGTGCAAAATGAGCTGATAATACTGGGTACAGATGGGAAACCATAAAACTGCAACTCTGAGAGAAATGTGTGAGAATCTCACCACCACCTCTATGTGAATGTCAATGTTTACATATTACTGTTTTTTTTCTTTCCACAGCTGCTTGCTAATTTGGGCTTGTTTCCAAAGATGGGGCCCTGTAATTAATGTGGGCCCCAGCTGGTGCTGTATTTAAAGACTGCACCTGGGTTGTGGGCCTTTCACTCACTTGCGGGCCTGTTTACATGCGTGTTTATTTTTTTCTGCTCCACAGGAGGTTCTTTAAAGCTGTCATTTGAGCCCTCGCTGACGATGGAGCAGGTAGAGAGTGAAAACGGGGAGGTCATGGAGGGTCAATATAACCCCCCCGACTGTACGGCCAGACAGAGCGTGGCCATCCTCATCCCTCACAGAAACCGAGAGAAGCACCTGCTCTACCTCCTCTACCACCTTCACCCTTTCTTACAGAGACAGCAGCTTCACTACGCCATCTATGTCATTCACCAGGTAGGCAAAACTCCCATTAGCTCTGGCAGAAGTTGAGAGTTTTTCTAGTCATATGTTGCTAGGGTTTGCCAACGAAGCTTCCAGAATGACTTGCTTGGTGCCATTTTTAGTGGGTTCAGGTTTTAGTAAAGGTTTCTTGGACCAAAAACATAATTTAGTTTTTTATGACCATTTCCTACCTTCTTTCTGACTTTAAACGGAACCATTTATTTGCTTTAAACACTGTTGAGGCTTAAACGTAAACGCCCTCTTCATACAGTATGTGAAATGCAAAACAGTATTTACTTATGGCTTTGCTGTTGGGCCCATAGTTTGCACTGGCCCATCCTTAAAGGATTAGTTCACTTTTAAAAAAACTTTTGCTGATAATTTACTCACCCCCATGTCATCCAAGATGTCCATGTCTTTCTTTCTTCAGTCGAAAAGAAATTAAGGTTTTTGATGAAAACATTCCAGGATTTTTCTCCATATAATGGACTTCCATGGGAACCAGACGGTTCAAGGTCTAAAAGACAGTTTCAGTGCAGCTTCAAAGGGCTTTAAACGATACCAGACGATGAATAAGGGTCTTATCTAGCGAAACGATCGGCCATTTCAAAAATAAATAAGAAAAGTTGAAGTTTAAAAAGCACAAATGATACACGTTCGTGACTCTCCTGTTCGAACTCGTTCATCAAAATGAACAAATCTTTTTTTCGAGTCATTTCGTTCATTCAACTAACGAAATGAACGAAATGACTCGAAAAAAGATTCGTTCATTTTGATGAACGAGTTCGAACAGGAGAGTCACGAACGTGTATCATTTGTGCTTTTTAAACTTCAACTTTTCTTATTTATTTTTGAAATGGCCGATCGTTTCGCTAGATAAGACCCTTATTCATCGTCTGGTATCGTTTAAAGCCCTTTGAAGCTGCACTGAAACTGTCTTTTGGACCTTGAACCGTCTGGTTCCCATGGAAGTCCATTATATGGAGAAAAATCCTGGAATGTTTAAATCAAAAACCTTAATTTCTTTTCGACTGAAGAAAGAAAGACATGGACATCTTGGATGACATGGGGGTGAGTAAATTATCAGCAAAAGTTTTTTTAAAAGTGAACTACTCCTTTAAATAAGTGTGCTTGCAAAGTCTGCAGTACATTGTTACACACATTCACCAAACAATCTAACTGTTTAAAAATATTAGACTCCCTTTCCTCAAAGTCCATTTGGATGATACTCTTTTTGTTCTTTAGTTATACAAAAACTGTAATGATGGTATTGTTGTCTTCTCCTCATTATTACACTGGGACTGAGGAAGCCAAGTTTCTAACTACTGAATTACCATTTCTGACTTGTAAATGTGGGCAGTTATGTGATAATGTGTTTAGTCTGATTGACACAGATTTCATAACAGTCTGTTTTTGCAGCTTAAAGGGACGATGTGTAGGAATTTCTCCCATCTAGAGGTGAAATTGTATTTTGCATTCAAACGAATTGTGCTCTCCAGTGCCTAGCTTTTTCAAATGCGTGTTGTATCTACGGTAGCCGTTATGTACCAAAAAGCTATGACAGGATGTCTTCTAATAGCACTTCGTCGAGTGTTCCTTCGGGTGAACAGGTTTTTTTTTTTTTAAACAAACTGCAACTTGACACAACGAACAAACGAATGTTACGGTATGAATTACTGACTGTGAAACTTGCCGTGGCAGTGACAAGCGCCTCTCACTGCTCTTCTCCTCCGCTTCTGCTGCTTTCAGTTACGTCACGCTGGCTCTGAACGAAAACACGTTGGCTTAGTACTTTTTGTCCCTCTCTGCTATTATAGTTTTTCAAGATGGCGGAACTACATGGAAGCCTCCGTGGACCTACCCGTCCCATGTATATAAAGATAATAAATTCTTTGTTTACGAGGATAAGTCAGATAATTGGCAGAGGTATTTGTACACCATTGAGGACATATTTATGAATAAAAATATTGATTTTAGATAATAAAATACCTAAAAAAGTATACATTGTCCCTTTAATGTCAACATATGGTCTTTTGGACTGAAGTGGAAGTTTTGAGTTCTGAAATGTTTTCGTATTAAAATCAACTTTCTACATCATGATATGACACTTTTAACAACAGCTGAGAAAAGTACCACCAGCTGATGCTGGTAAAATAAATATATTGCATTGTACAATTTTCATAGAGGAAATGTAAGGTTAGGTGAAGTAAAAATGATAGACGCTGAAGCTCAAGGTTTTTTGAAAGGTATACATTTAATTTTTTGCAATGTTCTCATTCTAGTTTTGCCAGTAGCTCTTTCAGTTTCTGTTAAGCTCTAACAACAATAATTATTTTCTTGCTTAAAATAACAACTCTTTAAAGGCCCATTCACTCCAAGAACAACAACTATAAAGATAAATATAACTACTTGAATACCTAAGCTCTTTATGGCTGTCATTGTTTTTATCGTTCATCAGCTGGAAAACAATTGTTCTAAAAGTGATTCCAACTATATTGTTTCTCTGTGCTGTTATCGTTATAGTTGTGGTTTGGACTCTGCTATTCTTTTATATTTTAAAACGATTTTTAGAACTATATCGTTAAAGTTATCGTCCTTGGTGTGAACGGGCCTTCCTTTAGTCTTCATGTCACTGACTGCATACACCTAAAGAAGTCATTTATTCAAATAATTTCTTGGATTTACCTTTATGGTTTTGTAAACATTTCACGGGGGTAGAATCACATAAATAATAATTTCCGTACTGTAACACAGTATTTACTAATGTTGAAACATTTGTCTTTTTTGGTCCTTTACTTTGTCCGCTTTCCATTCTCACTGGTGTTTTTTAAAACTATATAACAGTAATATATTATTATAATCATTTTCAGTATTATACTATTTTGCATCAGTAATGTATTCTGTCTTAAATTGTTCACTGTTATGTAACCATTTTAAGGCAATCTGATCAAACCCATTTGACAGTTCTATCTCTCTAAAGTATATACTTGCATACTAAAGTATTGAGGAGGGGTAGCTAAAAGTAGTAACACCACTAGTTGAACTACATTTTTCAGTGTGATAAGTAGTTATCAAACAAAACAAAGATTACTTTCCAGTGTGACACAACACTACATCACCTTTTTGTAATATTAAACACAGGAGGTAATAATCAAACGCTCACCTAAAATATCCATTTTCTCATATGATGCACTGGGGACAAACCCATCTTGCATTAGTTTGTGTATATGTGATATAGTTTTTACGCATATATTCTTCATTCTGTCATTTCCCTAAAAATGGAGTAAGCAGTTCATCTCTTCTGTCATTGCACATTCCAAACAAAAAATGTTGGTAATTTTCCAAATGTTAAAAAGTTCCTTGTGTTAAGCCTTTATTATACTTTAGTGTGAGCGTGAGAAAACCAAGTCTGAGCGTGATTCTCTTTAACAGAGGAATATAAAGTTTTTTTTGTTTTTTTTTTACACAAGATTTGCTCACGTCTAAAAACTGTGTGTGTGTGTGATGTATGTGTCTGTTTGTCTTATAGGCTGGAGAAGCTACATTTAACAGGGCAAAGTTATTAAATGTTGGCTACCTCGAGGCCCTGAAAGACCAGAGCTGGGACTGTTTCATCTTCCATGATGTTGATCTGGTTCCTGAGAATGATCATAACTTATACATGTGTGGGAAACAGCCTAAGCACTTAGTAGTGGGGAGGAATTCCACCGGCTACAAGTGAGTATTACTGTCTTCATTTAACAAACACGTTGCAGAGCAAATTACAGACCATTCTGGGATTTGACCCAACAACATTTGGGTTAGAAATACAACGCTGTAATCAGTTCGCAGTACTGTCAGTTTGATATACTAAAGCAACAGAAGTGACAATACTAGTTTAACAACATTTTCCAGTAGTTCAACATTTTCCTGTTTTTGTGATGAGCTGTCAGTGTCCAGAAGTGTGACATCTTTGCATCAACAGTATTTGTTCAGTTTAGTTCTGTACACATTATACAGATTTTCTCTAAGGTGCTGTGCAAAAGTCTTTGGCACATGTTGCCACCTGGATTTCACTGGATTTCACTTTTTATGGATTTTTGAAACCCAAAATGATGGAATTTTTCTTTCCTTTAATGCACTTACACTCACCTAAAGGATTATTAGGAACACCTGTTCAATTTCTCATTAATGCAATTATCTAATCAACGAATCACATGGCAGTTGCTTCAATGCATTTAGGGGTGTGGTCCTGGACAAGACAATCTCCTGAACTCCAAACTGAATGTCAGAATGGGAAAGAAAGGTGATTTAAGCTATTTTGAGCGTGGCGTGGTTGTTGGTGCCAGACGGGCCGGTCTGAGTATTTCACAATCTGCTCAGTTACTGGTATTTTCACGCACAACCATTTCTAGGGTTTACAAAGAATGGTGTGAAAAGGAAAAAACATCCAGTATGCAGCAGTCCTGTGGGCGAAAATGCCTTGTTAATGCTAGAGGTCAGAGGAGAATGGGCCAACTGATTCAAGCTGATAGAAGAGCAACTTTGACTGAAATAACCACTCGTTACAACCGAGGTATGCAGCAAAGCATTTGTGAAGCCAAAACACGCACAACCTTGAGGCGGATGGGCTACAACAGCAGAAGACTCCACCGGGTACCACTCATCTCCACTACAAGTAGGAAAAAGAGGCTACAATTTGCAAGAGCTCACCAAAATTGGACAGTTGAAGACTGGAAAAATGTTGCCTGGTCTGATGAGTCTCGATTTCTGTTGAGACATTCAGATGGTAGAGTCAGAATTTGGCGTAAACAGAATGAGAACATGGATCCATCATGCCTTGTTACCACTGTGCAGGCTGGTGGTGGTGGTGTAATGGTGTGGGGGATGTTTTCTTGGCACACTTTAGGCCCCTTAGTGCCAGTTGGGCATCGTTTAAATGCCACGGCCTACCTGAGCATTGTTTCTGACCATGTCCATCCCTTTATGGCCACCATGTACCCATCCTCTGATGGCTACTTCCAGCAGGATAATGCACCATGTCACAAAGCTCAAATCATTTCAAATTGGTTTCTTGAACATGACAATGAGTTCACTGTACTAAAATGGCCCCCACAGTCACCAGATCTCAACCCAATAGAGCATCTTTGGGATGTGGTGGAACGGGAGCTTCGTGCCCTGGATGTGCATCCCACAAATCTCCATCAACTGCAAGATGCAGTCCTATCTATATGGGTCAACATTTCTAAAGAATGCTTTCAGCACCTTGTTGAATCAATGCCACATAGAATTAAGGCAGTTCTGAAGGCGAAAGGGGGTCAAACACAGTATTAGTATGGTGTTCCTAATAATCCTTTGGGTGAGTGTATATCTGTTTGCTTTAATATGATGTACTGTAAATCAGAGGCAGGACAGTTGAACTCATTCATTTGTTTGGGTTCAGAATTATGAATTTTGATAAGCTAATATTGTTTGTCCTCCACTTAGGTTAACATTCTTTGCAGAAATAAGACCATCGCTTCCTTGATTTTTGCATTAAATTCAGCGATTTCAAAAATCTCTAAATCTTGGAGGGATTGGCATTTGTTTTTAACCTAGCAATCAATTAACCTGTTATATTTGTAGATACTTTTATTTTGTTTTATGATATTTTTATGACATGAAAGAAGCTAAAAGAATTGTTTACTGTGAACTGTTAAGTAATACCTCTTCGGTTGTCCCCCGAAAACTAGGGCTTGCTTATTTTGGGCTTGTTTTTTTGTGTTTTTAAGACCAGCGGCCAGTTGCAAAAACATAGCCAATATGTTAAGACTGTGTCTTAAGTACTAGTATCTAAATTATGTAACTGACTTAAAAAAGTTATAAACAGTCTTTAAGAAAAAAATTGTGATGACTAACTTGTAAGACTAGTCTAAGCAGTTATATCCAACCGGCCTCAGGTCATCTATTTCTCATTCATTTTTAAGGTAGATTGCATGTAGGTTTGTTTTAAGCATCTCAGAAATGCTTTCCCCTGTTTTTCAAAATATGGTAGTTAAACTTCTTTAAGCAGCTTGATATTCTCTGTTCGCCATTAGTATTCAGCTACATCAAATACAATGTACCCCTAAGTAATTTCTTAATTGCATCACTGAGCTGTTTTGTGAAATGACATGCTATAGTTGTTTAATATTTGAAAGACATTTATTACTTTTTGCCACTGACTTCCCAGACTCAGATACAAAGGTTACTTTGGGGGGGTTTCGGCAATGACGACGGAGCAGTTCCACATGGTGAATGGCTTCCCAAACTCCTACTGGGGCTGGGGTGGAGAGGACGACGACCTGAGGAAAAGGTAAGATGAACTTTGAAGGACACAGTTTAGGATGTGCACAAGTACTACACGCTGATTACAATCCACTGACTACTATAAGTGACTGCTATTCTTTTTCCATAATGTAGACAAAATTACCAAAAATGAAATGTTGCTTTTCAGTTCAGGTTGACAACATTTTGAAAAATCTAAAATATAGATGCATGTAGCAGTTTTGAAGCGAGTTCTCTCATTTCTCATCTCTCGTTCGGCCTCTCATCTCTGAACGTTGCTGTATTCTCGTTGATGATTTTAATAGAACCATATTTTTCAGGGTGGAACTTCAGAAAATGACGATACTGCGGCCGTCTCCTGAAGTGGCGCGCTACACCATGGTCTTTCACAAGAGAGACAGCGGCAATCAAGTCAATAAAGACAGGTCAGGTCAAGTGTGAATGAGAAATAAATGTTGCAATATTAGAGTTTAATTCTGGTCTTGCAAGAGACCACAGCTAAAGTAAGGAACATTTTTGAGAGCTTGCTTTTGTTACATTACAACAAGGAAATGAGATTGAGACATTCAGTGTCTTACAGCATACTAAAACATTATGGTTTAGATAAAATATGTACTGTACAAGTTATAAGCTATTAAAACAGTTCAATTATACTTCCTGTCCATGAAAAAAAATTAAAATGTGAAAACAGCCTAAATGAAATCTGTGGCACCTGTTTGAGCACTGACGCCACAGTGTGTTCCTATACAAGCCAAACAGGGTTGAAGTTAACTTTTTTAATAATCAGCTGAATTTAAGTTACCAGTCATCCAAGTTCTACTAGCCACAACACGACTTCTCAGCTGGTCAAAATAATATCATATGTAGGCTATATGGCAAGCCGTTTTAACTTTTATTCATTTCCAGGATATGTTTTCACTAGTTAAAATTATAATTATTGATATCAGGAATTATATTTCTACTAGTAACAATGGCAATTTTTGATATCAGGAATTACATTTTCACTAGTAACAATGTTAATTCTTGACATCAACATTTACATTTTCACTAGTTAAAATTATAATTCTTGATATCAACAATTGAATTGCAACTAGTAAAAACTATAATTCTTGATATCTGTAATTGTATTTTCACTAGTGAAATGTCACCAGGCTGCCATTCAAAATCAATTCTTGATATCAAGAATTTATTTCTTACTAGTTGAAATTCCAATTTCACATATCAGAAATACAATTCTTACTAGTAAAAACCTTTATTTTTGATATCAAGAATTCAATTGTCACTAGTTGAAATGTCTATTCTTGATATCAACAATTGAATTGCTACTAGTAACATTGTTCATTTTTGATATCAATAATTCAATTTTTACTAGTGACAATGTTCATTTTTGATATCAATAATTACATTGTTACTAGTAAGAAAGCCATTTTAGATATCTGAAATAATATTGATATCAGAAAAACATTTTCAGATATCAAAAATGAAATTTTTTACTAGTAGCAATTCAGTTGTTGATATCAAGAATAGACATTTAGACTAGTGATAATTTAATTATTGATATCAGGAATTCGCATTTTTACTAGTAACAATGTAATTATTGATATCAAAAATTATATTTCTACTAGTAAGAAATCAATTCTTGATATCAACAATTGATTTTGAATGGCAGTCTATGGTGACATTTCACTAGTGAAAATACAATTGTTGATATCAAGAATTACATTTTTGATATCAATAATTCAATTGTTGATATCAAGAATTGAATTGTTGATATCAAGAATTCAATTGTTGATATCAAAAATGTAATTGTTGATATCAAAAAATGTAATTGTTGATATCAAAAATGTAATTGTTGATATCAACAATTCATATCCTGGAAATGAATAAAAGTTAAAACGGCTTGCCATAGGCTACGCACATACTCGCGCATTTATCCCAGAACACAGCATTGTTTGGATGTTCGGTAAGTTCCGTCTCTAAATAGGCATTATGTCATAAAAGCCGACCCATCAGGTTGTGAACATATCCCTCCCTATGCCTTTAGGTTCGGTGTTTAAATGCCAATGCTAAGCAGACCAGGAGTACTTTTTTTCTTTTTCTTTTTTTTTTGGTCCGGACCAAACGAATCAAGCGAAAGTGTGAACACACCCTAAAAGCCTTATATTTTATTTTAAAAACCCGTGTTCTCAGATGCCTAGGTATTAAGAACAGGTTGAAAATTGGCCTCTTGTCTCCATGCAAGTGTACTGTTATGCTTTGTTTAGCAAATGTTGGAGGCAAGCGGGTAGCCATGATATCGCAAGTTAATTTTTCAATCTTAGCCCACCAAATTGGCTAGGGAGTTGATGGTTACCTGCCACGGTTGTTTTTCCCCCACATTTGGTGGGATAGTGGGTGTTAATTTCAAACCCTGATGCCAATTTATTTGCTTATCATAACTATAGGACATTGGGCTTTTATCTGATAAGAAGACATTTCATTTATTTTATTTGATAGGGACAATGCTCATTGATCAACAAACAAGTTACGGTAACGCTTCCTTTTACAGTACAGTACTTACATGTACTTACAGTGTACTTACCTAGAAAGTACTGGCTAATATAAGGTAAGTACATGGGTTAGGGGTAGGTTCAGGGTAAGTACCTAGTTATTACCCAGTAATTATAGTTACTATAATAAGTACATAGTAAGTACATGGGTAACAGGACTGTAAAAGGAAGCGTTACCCAAGTTACTTGCTGTAAACAAGCCAGAGTTAGCTACAAGTGCTAGTTTACATCTGTTGTCTCTAGCCAGATCTTAACAGGCACCCTAAAATACAAAAGTCAATAAAAATACACTATAAATTTTATAAATACAGTAGAAATGTAATAAATACAGCTGGAATTTTAAAACAATATGAGCCTACCCTCAAACAGACAATACATTGCTCACCTCACCCTCAACATAATTCCAGTATAAAGTAAATACAGTATAATAAAAAAGAAAAAAAGCAAAGTATGTTCATGGACTTAAGTAATTGGTGTATGGTTACAATTGTAATTGTCCCTAATCCAAGATTTAAGCTGTTTTTTAAAAGAGTAGAGACTATTACACTCCCTTAACTCATTGGGCAGACTATTCCAATAATGTGTAGCTCTGACAGAAAAGGCTGTGTTTCCAATCCTACTTTGTCTATATTGAACTATGCAGTCCCCTCTGGTGGTTGCTCTCGTTACTCTATTGACCTTATCTTTCTGCTTTATAAACTGGCACAGTGGTGGTGGAGCAAGCCCACGGAGTACCTTAAAGACAAGACAGGCATCAGCAAAGTGTCTGAAGTTTTCAAAGCTAAACATGTTGTGTTTTTTGATTATGTGACAATGATGATAGCTATTACCCTTACGATCCAATGTCTTTAATGCTTGTTTATAAAGTGACTCCAATGGTTACAATGTTGTTTTATTGGCTTGCGACCAGCTAGTTAAACAGTAAGAAAAATGTGAGAAGATCATCGCATGCAAGAAGAGCTTTGCGGCCTTCATTGATAGGTATGATCTTATGTGCTTAAAATTTGCCCGGTTAAATTTAACAATATTGGCCACCTTTTTTGTATGGCACTTTTTTGTGAGTCTAGGATGATTCCCAGATATTTAAAGTCAGATACCAGTCTAACCTTCTCTTGGTTAACAATTACCTCAGGGCCATAAGTCACAGTAGTTTGTTTTGTAAAATACATACATACTGTTTTACTTATGTTCAGGTGTAAACATGAATTAATTAGCCATATGGATACCTTACTCATGGCCTCAGTCAGTTGGTGTGCAGCTTGTTGTTTATTTTTAGCATGCACGTAGAGGACTGTGTCATCTGCATACATTTGTAAATGTACAGATGGACAAACAGTGGGCAGGTCATTTATATAGAGACTGAACAAGAGGGGGCCCAGGATAGATCCTTGAGGGACACTTATTTTATAGTTTAGATAATATAGATTGAGTGTTGTTAATGTGTGTGCTTTGTTTTCTGTCAGTTAAGTTTGATTTCATCCATTTGATTGCATTCCCACAAAAATTGAAATAGGATAATTTTGACAAAAGAACATCATGATCGTTGATCGGTGTCGAACGTTTTTTTTAAACCTCAAAATATTGCACCCACCACGCCTCCTTTCTCTAGATTCATTTTAATGTTCTCGATAAAAAAGCAGTTGGCTGTTTCTGTCGAGTGATTACTTCGAAAGCCAAACTGCATTGGGTTGCAGTGGTGTATGACCTTTACTAAGATGAGTAATCAGCTGTTTCGCCACCCATTTCTCTGCTACCTTGGATATTACAGGTAGTATATGAATAGGCCCCATCTCAACATGCGCATAAACTAAGATGGAAACACATTTAGTGAATAAATCCCTCGATGGGCAACACAAAACTCACTCATGTGACTTTGCCTCAACAGAGGATGTGATTTTTTTGTATAACTTGGACTAATCCGCAGACCAATCGAATTTCACAGCATCTCAAATCAAATGTTGGTTTGGTCATTCTGAAATGCCTAAGCCAAAATCTGTCATCATCAGAATAATTTGGTTTAATTCCCTCCCGGAACGGTCTCTCATAATTGCGTTCTCAAACACCAGGGGCCTCATGTACAAAGACTTGCGTTGAATTCATACTAAAACATTGCGTACGGACAAAGCTGTAAATGTGCGTACGCACAAAAAAAAGCAGATGTATGAATCTCTGCGTACTAAGGATCCCACGCATATTCTCTTTGTACATCCCAATTAACGTAAAATTGAGCGCACATGCACGAGCACAACGCCCCACCCAGTCTCCTCCCCCAATTAAATTAATTTAAATATGGTAATTAGTCCAATTTGGCAAAATAAACCTGCAAGAACATGGCTAAAGCAAGCAAGAAACGAAATTTCACTGAAAATGTCTTCTATGTGAATATATAGTAAAGTGTTAATTTATTCCTGTGATCAAAGCTGAATTTTCAGCATCATTTCTCCAGTCTTCAGTGTCACATGATCCTTCAGAAATCATTGTAATATGATGATTTGATGATCAAGAAACATTTATGATTATTATCAGTGTTGAAAACAGGTGTGCTTCTGCTTCATATTTTCGTGGAAACCATGATATAGTATTTTCAGGATTCTTTAATTAATAAAAACTTAAATCAAACAGATGTCGAAATCTTATCTTTTGTAACATTATAAATGCATTTACTGTCACTTTTACTTGTCACTTCAATGTGTCCTTGCTGAATAAAAATATTACTTTCTTTTTTTTTTATCTTTACTGACCGAATTAATGAAGTTTATTTTTTTTAGTTAAGCCAACGCTGCCATTGCTAGACGGGTTGTATCAATTTGGACATGCTTTATATATGTTCTTACTTAATTGCATAATATAATATTTTAATAAGACTCGTGTGACAATAATATGTCAAATAATTGATCAATTACAAATTATAAGCAATATCTGACAGCTGGTGGTGCGATAGAACAATTCGTAGTGTAATGTTTGCCACTTCACTTTATTGCCTCTATGAGTCGCCAACGGACAAAAATCACGACAAATGTACGTACGCCAGACATGAAGTTTACTTGGAGGAACGCACATTCTTACGTTAATTTCACTGTTAGTACATCTGGCCGTGAACGTGAAAGCTGGCGTACGCTGTGTTTTTGTGCGTACGCAGTGTTGATACATGAGGCCCCAGGCATCCGAACGCAAGACAACGTGACAGCGTTTATTGCGTTTGGTCTGCGCGCTCTGAGACACAAGTCATCTATGATGGTGGAAGAAAGAGCCACAGTGGCTTCCCCGATTGCAGCAACTTCCATTTTTATTACAGATGTTTTGTGGCAATTTCACAGGACGTGATGATTTTTCTTCTCTTGAACACATGGAATCACAAATATTTTATGCCATATTCCAAGTTAAATTTGCAACTTTGGATGGAAACATTGCTACTGAAGGGATGCGTAGTTTCAGTGTGGCATCTGACGCTTTGCTTTCACTTTACCCATCACAGGATGCAGCTGTTACGCCGTACTCCCCAGATGTGGAAGAAGGATGGTTTGAATTCCTGTTCCTACAAGGTTCGGTCTATCGACCGAGCCCCACTCTTCATCAACATCACCGTGGACATCGGCAAGCCTGAGCGTGCTCACTGAGCCATGAGTTCGGATGCTCAAGAGACAGCTTGCATTGAAACACAGCATTCACCAGTGCCTGCCAGAGCTAATACGAGGTGTTGTTGCTCCACACCAGGTTGCACTACCGATCTGACCTGTAAGACAAAATGGCCAGAATACTGATCAAACACTGCGTTTGAAGTATTACAATAATCAAGTAGACTTTAAATCGATCAACCAGGTAAACCTTTCAGGATTGAAATTAAGAAACTAATTTAATATTCATTACTTCTACTTTCTCATAATGCATTCTGTATGGCTTGTATTCATTTAGGTCATCACAGAATATGGGAAAACAAAAGAGCTGTAACCTGACTGGTCAGATGAGATATGTTATTATTATGTACAGTAGGCTCAAATATTGATGTATATGGGCAGAGCATGTTCTATGATGTTGATTTCAGCTGAACATGTTCTAATATCGGTCCGGTGGAAACTTGTAGATTTTTTGTAGGTGTTTGGGTCCAGGGATAATGTTTAATCGGTTTCATTTCAGTGAAATGTAGCTGTAGATGGGTTTATTATTTTACATTTAGGCCAATGTTTAAGACAGAACGGCTGTTCACTCATAAAACTGGGTGGTTAATTTACTGACTTTATGATCAGAGAAAAAAAGACTTGTGATTACTTAACATAATATTATATTATATGATGGGCTGTCCTGTCGGGGTTTATATATAAAAACCTTAGAATGATTCATACATTACAGAAACTTTCCAGAAGCCGAGTATGACTTGAAACTGATCTTGACACGCTGAATTTCACCACAATATGGCCATCTTATCAAACCAGCTGATTGATGAGCGTGGGGAGGACAGAAATGCAAGTTTGGATTTTATATGGACGATTATGAACTCCAAGAATCTGTATAGTCGACCTGGTCATTATCTAGTGTTCTGTTGAAACTTGACAAACGGAAATCAAACCCTAGGCTAAAACAGTTACACAACTACTTAAAGAAAGTGCATGAAGATCAAATTAAGTAACAATTTACTTATTTTCTATTACCTTTTTGTCATAATTCGATTTTTATTTCAGAAAATAAAGATTTATTATTTCAGTCAAACCTGGTATCATCCTGGTATCACATAAAATCATCTTAACTCAGTTTTTTACTTTACATTCTGTGGCACGTACACATTTAAAAGATTTGGGTGTTGTAACTCTGAACATTTATATGAATTTTATACTGTGAAAAAATAAATCATGGGCAAAGGTTTGTGAACATTAATCAGAATTTTCCACGAATAGGGTGCAAATTGGGATCCTGTTACTTTTTGTATAGCAGTAAGGTCTGAAATCATGTTCTGTGGAATGGGAAATTATATTTTATATAAATTGTTAACTTGAAATTACCACACGAGTACCTTTAATCCCACTGAATATCTCAACAGCCCCCTTGAAATTGTGATTTAAAAAAGAATTATAATTATTCTATAGTATAAATAATATATACAGTTTGACATCTTGAGGTTTTTCTGAAGGTTTAGCACTTCATCTGATAAATCTTTGTTGAAAAGGAAACTTTACGCCTGTTTTTGTGCCCTTTTCATGGAAAATCCTCACCCCTCATGCAGTGTTGAACCTGTGTGTGTGATATTGAAAAAGCCAGTTTACTGATGTTAATACTTCAATAAAAAATGGCATTCAACAAAGACTGCAGCTTTCTTTCTTTTGTGAAATAGATATACAAGTTTGCTTGTATAATACCATATATGATCTAAGCATATTTACTACTCATATATGTTGATTGGTCATGAAAATCTTTAATAATTGATCACAAATAAATTTATTATAAGAGGACTATCTCTAAGAAATGCTGTTGGAAATTGTTAGCTCTCTCTCTCTCTCTCTCTCTCTCTCTCTCTCTCTCTCTCTCTATATATATATATATATATATATATATATATATATATATAAGTCAACATTTGAAGTGGATCAAAATAGTTCATCAACGTTGTCCTAAGACAAGAACGGGTATTGTTCAAAATTTATGTATAACTTTCTTTATGAAAGGTTTTGATCCACTTCAAATGTTGAGTACTGTATATATTTGATGCAGAGTACAAATGCAAACACTGCAGTTATTTGTGCATTAAAGGTGCATTCAGTAGTTTTGGTGTTAAAAGTTTTACTCAATAAGGAATAAATGGTTTCTATGATGAGATGAATCCAAGACAACATATTAGATCTTACTACTCCCTCTAGTGTCATTTATTGGAATACTAACACAGAAAATATAGCCTTCTGTGGCCTATATATAAATGGAAACATGTGTGAAAGACATGTAACAAATCAGAATTATTCACAGAATATACTCTTTTAAAGATTATATTATCAAAATATGTCAAATTAAAATTAATAGGCTAATTAGTGTGTACTCTATAAAAAATAATTGCATCGAATATACATATAGTCCTCCTCTTATAATACATTTATTTGTGATAAATTATTTAAATGTATCATGACCAATCAACAAAAATATGAGTAGTATATATTCTTAGATTAACTTTTTTTTTTTTTTTTTAAGGAAGGGTACGTGATTTGTTCCAGAAATATTTTTTGTTATGCTCTCTTCACATCCTCATAGCAATCACTAACTTAAGTGGTCTAGACCGAAATGTATTTATAGCTTATATTTATCGTCTGGGGAAGGCATATGACCATAAGCTTTTGTTTGCTCCCTGTTTTGAAGGAGGCATGGCTTTGGAGACGCTCTGAAGGGAGGGTGGGATCTCATGCTTTCAAAGCTAGCTCGCTATTGCTAGCCTCCCGAAACTTCCAGACGAAGGACCAAGAATGTGCATCATCAGGTGTGTTTTGCTTTTTTGTTTTTAATTCATTTATGAAGCCACTACAAACTTAATCGTTATATATTAAATTGTCATATTACAATGCTATCATGTTTTGTGCAGGCTATTAGCTTATTTTGTTTGAAATAAAACAGCCTGACAATCAATTTCACTGCTAAATGTGGTTTTCCGCCATGTTTCTCACTGACACACACCTAAGCTCAAAGAAAATCCAGAGTTTCCTAGTCCTAATTAAGTCTTTCCCCGCCATTGATGGAATTTTCCATGGAATTTTCCTGCTTTCCTTGTTTTTACTGTTATATGGTAGGGGGCGCTGTTATCGCTGTTATCTTCTGAATCTCTAGATCAGAAAGCAGGCACAAAAAAAAAAAGAGAGCAGAAACAAGCGATAAAAGCATTGCTTATGCACATTGTAGCATGATTTTATCAGATTTTTGTTCAAAATGTTGCTTTTTTTAAATAAACGTACCCACAGTGAAGTGTTGATAAAAAAAAAATGGACGAAGCTTGAATAAAACTTCTCTTTTAAAGCAGAGGCTCTGTTTTTCTTTTGATATAGGCTATTGCGTGTTCAGATATTCATAGCCTACAATAAAATATTCTGGGGGCCATTACATTTTTGTGAAAATTCAAAAATGCTGGTGGTGGTTGGTGACTTTTTAAAAACGCTGGCGGGGAAAGAGTTAGGCCTAAGACTTTGTGATGGCGTTCATGTGCGTTTAACTCATATATGTCCGAGTGCTTCAGCAAGTGTATGACTAAACACTTTTAGGGCACAAAGTTGTTCAGTCACAATTCAGACACCATTACAAAATGGCCAACACCCTATAGCCTAGTACACTGTATAGGGGACAGGGAGGGATTTCAGACACAGCATCCGATGCATCCTCATTCCTCAGTATTAAGAACACATCTGGGTAATTTCATGCATCCTCTTTTTGATGATTGGACTTGAACGTTGTCGGTTGATGATGATGTAACAAGACTCAGACTGTTTAAGAATGCATTTTGGGAAAGGGAAACGGGCAGTATTCATTTGTTGGAGTAATGAAACTTGTGGCAAGTTTTTTGGCAAAAGAGCGTATGAGTAGCAGTAACTGTCCACTCCCATAAAGCTCCTCAGTCTGCTTTTTTTAAGCATTTGTTATTAAATTCCCATGGAGAAAATTAATGGGAAAACACATATGGAACCAAGGCTATTGAAAAAGTAGACCGTTTTCACTCTATTACATCATGGACTGGGATTGTCTGACAGGCATCCGATTGAATTCGCCCTTTGTTTGCTCCTGTCACATGATTCAGGGCTGCTCTATAGGAAGAACAACCTTTGGCACATGGTGGCTTGACACAAAAAAGTGTCTGTTCTTCTTATGGTCTAAATGCTTTAATCTGTGCGGTCTGATTTTTCTTTTAATGCCATATTTGAAAGGATCCCTTTTTTGTCTGTTGATAATAATGCTTTCTGCGCCTGCTAGGAAAAGCCATTCTAAGAAATGTTACTGATAAAGCAGCATTTGTAATGTATCAAGTAAAATTAGAAGCATATTTTCCCCATCTTTTACATATATTTTATCCTTAAATTTAAATTTAAATTTATAATGTTACAAAAAAATCAGTTTCAAATAAATGCTGTTCTTTTAAACTTCCTATTCATCAAAGAATTCAAAAGAATTTTTTTTTTTTCTTGAGCAGCAAATCAGCATATTAAAAATGATTTCTGAATGATCATGCGACTCTGAAGACTGGAGTAATGATGCCGAAAATTCAGCTTTGATCAAACGAATATATTACATTTTACAATATATTCAAATAGAAAACAGCTATTTAAAATTGTAATGATATTTCAAAATATATTTTTTTAAAAATCCAATTTTTGGAGAGACTTCTTTCATACAAAATAATTTTTTTACCAACCTCAAACCTTTGAATGTATTGTACATCGACAAAACTTCTCTGAAGGCAAACATTATCTTCCGTCACTTAACTTTATGAATAACATTTTCATCTGCAGCAGAAATGTGTACAGATAGTGAGTTATTTTAAATTTTTCCTACTGATAAAGTATGTTTACGAGCTGCTTTATTCATAAAATTGAATTCAAATATTAAAAAAAATGTATTGATTAAACCTAAACCTGAAAAGAGTACAGTAAAGAGAGGCTCGATCAAAGGCTTGGCATCTGCTATACAAATTATGATAATAAAAAATTAAAAACCTACAGTATATTGGTTAACCAGTATCTGAATATTGAGGGTTGGGGTTAGAATCTGCCCTAGTATTTTGACCATAAAAGTTTAGCAACAACCTTTATAAATGAAATAATAAAAATATTAATAAACCTCCTGACATTTTCTCACACACACAAACGGCAATGAGAATGAGCCTTTTGGACATATAAACAGTTTTAAAATAGTAGAAGATAGATGCTTCCTTACTTGGTGGATCTTTTATGTTAATAATGTCAAGGTTACTGCTTGTGCTTGCATGGCTAAGTTTGTCAGCATATACTGTCCCAGATCCTTTATACTTCCTTCCTCTCAGATCACAGCAAAATACCTCTTTGCTGGCTGTCACACACACATAGATGTATATGTATGTGAATGACAATACACTGATCGCCTCAAGATGGCTGGCGCGTCGACGTGTCTTGAGTGGTCGAATATTGCATCTACGTATACATATCTATGGTCACACATTTGTATTTCTCTGAACAATATTAAATACACACAAAAAATATTTGACACTTTTTTTAATCATTCGACAAAAGTACAGATTGGCTGAAAATGATGCACAATAATAAATACTCTATTCTTTATTTTCTTTAAACATCACATTTCAATATTTCATAGGCTCCAGCCTCCCGTGACCCTAATATAAGGATAAAAGTGGTTTGGATAAGGGATGGATGGATCTCATATTTCATCTCAAGCATGTTCTTTATTGACTTGTTTGGCTTGTTAGTAACCAACTGCACTACCTTTTGAAAAAACCTTGAAAATGGCAAGAATGTTGACGGTCAAAACCAGACATACTGTAAGTTGTTTACATACTGTGCAGTAAATATTAAAATGGTCAGTTTCTTTACTCTTTGTTTACATTATCATAACTTCTATGAAAGATTTACTCCTAGAAGAAAAAGTTCTATATAGAACCTTAAAGAGTTCTGCCAGGCGAGATAGAACTTTTTAGAGGTTCCAATCATAGGATCATTTTATGGATTCAGGTTTAATAAATACATTTAGTTTGAATTAAATTTTCAATTTGATTTAAATTTGATGAATTAAGCAGCTCGTAAACATGCTTTATTAGTTGAAAAAAATTAAATAACCCGTTAAACATTAAAGTATTATGCAATAATTTAGACATTTCTCCTTGTATAGAACCATTTTTTAAATAAATGTTTCTTTAAATGGTTCTTTCTACCCTGCTGAAAAGTCCAGTACTGCTTCTCACCAGCATAAGGTATGTTACGCATGCTGGTCTCCAGCATGGGATGCTGGTTGCTGGTTTGGTACCCAGCATGAGAAGCGATTGTGCTGGTGGACCATGCAGCATAAGGTATGTTTTGCACACTGGGACCAGCTTGCGATGCTGGTGTGCTAGTGGACCAGCATATGTTGTCTTTTGGGTGCTGATATGATTACAGCAAGACCACAACAAAACTGGTGTATGTGTTAAAAGTTGTTTAAGTCTATTTGAAGTCACCATTATGATGATTAGTGTTTCATGGTGTGGCTTTCAGTTGGACACTTGGCCCTTGACTTTGGTTGAATTAATTCTCTTTCAACAACTGTTGAAAGTGCATGCTATCACTATTGACTACAATATTTCATGCTCCTGACTGCAATGGCATACCTTTTACTATGTGCACTTTTTTGGGATCAGTGACTGACCGCTGGATTTTGACATTCGAGCTCCCAAAGGACCATTTACAGTCTTTAAAATCAGCAACTTTTCATTTTGTGCTTTCATTATCTCTTTCTTAGTAAGAGCTCTTTTCATAACCCTGGTTATTGAACAAATAACCTTTGTTTTCATATCAGTTTTTGTTTTGCAATGTACACAAGCTCTTTTTAATTTATTTGTATATAGAGTAAACAGGAGACAAATCCTTTGATCCTTTTAAACGTTTCACCAGTTTAAATTGTTACTGTTTAAATTTCAGATGACTTTAATTAATACTATAATCATAACTAAAACAATTAAACCAGTTTTTCTTGAGAATAGCATGATTATGCTGGTTCTCCAGTTAGACCAGCACTTACCTGCAGAAACCAGCCATGCATTCATGCTGGTTTATGCTGGATTTTTAAGCAGGTTATATTGAACCCCACTGAACTTTTTAGTTCTAAGAGTGCAATACTATTATGATGGATTTTCATAATTCTGGGACAAAAGTAAAACAATAAAAATCTAGACATAAAAGGCATTTGAAAAGTGGCAAAAAATATGATAAGTCACAGTTAAAAAGTTTCCAAGACAGAAAATCTGGAAAAAGGTATCTGTTAGTTTTAATGAAAATCAGCCCGTGGGACATAGATGTGCCTGTAGTTGAAGAAACACTCAAAATGGCTAACTAGCCGTGGTTAACGGGAACCTTGTGTTTTTCCCCCGCTCTCATCTGCTCTGTAAACTTCTCCAGTTTTTTCTGCACCCTCTCTGTGTATCTCATTCTGCCTTTCTCTCTCTCTTTCTCCCCCCATCTTGCTGTCCCTCTCCCCAACGTCCTTCTCTTGGTCTGTTTTTGTTTTCCAAACAAGGTTCCCTTTACAGGAAATTGTGTATTCTGGAAGCGTTCAGGAAGGCAGAGAGCAGGTTTCCTGTTGGAGCCATGGCTACAAAAAAAGAAAAAAGGAGGGAGGAAGAGAGAAAGCGGGGTGGCCGGGGGGGTTGGGTGAAAGGGGTTCGGTAATGTCCAAACTGGTGAAGAATAAGCAGGCAGTTATTTCTCTCTCCTCCCCTCGCTCTTCTACCCTCCCCTTTGCAAAAAAGTTCTGACATTTCAAGCCTCCACTCAACATCAGCACGATGACCTCCTGAACAACGTGGAACGAAAAGGATCGATAGATAGATAGATAGATAGATAGATAGATAGATAGATAGATAGATAGATAGATAGATAGATAGATAGATAGATAGATAGATAGATAGATAGATAGATAGATAGATAGATAGATAGATAGATAGATAGATAGATAGAAGTGGAAAGGACAGGAAACTGTCTCCTCTGTAAAGCTTCTTGGTGGGACTGAAGCTTGTGTCGTAACTTTTCTCCTCAGACTCGACAGAATCTCACCTCTCTCTGTTCAGGGCTGAAGGGAGGAGAGACCCTGATGATGAAGTGACGTTGGGCGTGAACCGCTCCAGAGTTCTTCGCCCACACCAGATCTTTGGTGGCTTAGTCAAGATGTGAGCGGATGATTTCTTTTGTTTGACACTGTGGACTTCCTGATTTTGGGGTTTTCTTTTCTTTTTCAAGCGCATTTCCCCCCCTTCCCATCCCATGCGTTGTGGGACCAATGGTTGATTTTAAGGTGTATTTACTCTGATCTGGATACGTTACGGAAGCCTGATGAAGAATAAGGCTGCCAAGCTGAAGTCCAAAAGGAAAGGAACTGAAAATGCGTTCGGCTGTGACTTGACTGAACATCTGCAGAATTCAGGACAAGACGGTAAATTCCTCTTTTCCGTACTCACTCCTCCTCTTGCCATTCATATAACGGCTGCCCCTTTTTTCAAAGCCCCAGCAGTCATAATAAGTTGACTTTATTAGGAACCCACACCAGAGCAGAAGCCTGGGCCTCTGCGTAAACATTAGCTACGTGTAATAAACCAACACCCATTTCGGGTGCTGGTTGGCTGAAGTGTCTGTGTTTTTGTTGCCATTGAAACAGAAGATACTTTATTCTTTTGAGTCCTTGCGGTGGACACTTTTCCTCTTGCCTGAAACCATTTAACTGGAAGCTATTTGGTCAATAATCTCCCCTTTTTGAGTGTGTTAATGGGTATAAAACAAATCTGAATGTAATCTTAACCTGTTTAGTGCTCATAAGCATTAAAAGAAAATAAAGAGCAAAGGAAATGTTCAGAGGAAGAGGAAGGGGGGGGAAAGAGGAGGAGAAAAGGGAGGACTCGATTTTAAAGATATACTGTTCACGTAAAATACCGACATTCTGTTTATGAAATATCACTACATTTCTCATCAAAGGCTGTTAAACTAAAAGCACCGGTTCCTCTTAAAGTGATCATGTATTATTGAGAATATCACTTAATTCATGTCCATAATATTTCGATATGCCATTGGACATTCATTCTTTGTTAGCTCAAAGTGGAGTTTTTGTTCCCATCCGTAACATCATTTACGGTGTGTGTTATGATTATACATTTTTAATGGATATCAACAATAACCTCTTCATGCTGATCCAGAAGCAGCTTTTCCTCTCCGTTTCCCAAGCTCTCACATTATAAGAGACAAAACACAATGCTGATCTGGAAACAGTGCGGTGCCACCCGTAGTTTGACAGATCCATGTGACTTGACCGAGTTCATCTGAAGCCTGTAACTGTGAAACAGTCTTTTGTTTAAGATCCTGTCTGCTCACATGTTTTGATCGTTGAGGAAAGAATGACCACAAATGCTCTCGAGATATTTATTGGAAACTTTATTTTAAAACTGTGCAAATTATTTGATTCCTTTTCTGTGTTGAAGTAAGATTATATTCTATTGTAATATTGTTTACATTTTTTTAACTACAGTAAGAAAACACAATTGTTAACAGTTATTACTAATACTTGCTTATCAAAAGCAATTCATTGATTTTCTTTCATTACTTAAGCATCTTAGTTTTTTCCCTCACAGCCTCCTTTGGCTAGTGATCTTTAGACATTATATGAGCACAAAATGGATTTATACTTTGTGGATAGATATAAGTGCTAACTAAGTAACATCCACCAACCCCGTTGTGTGATATCAAATAGTGTTTCCAAAGCAATGTTTTGGCAGGAGTTGAGCAGGAAAGTCAGAATCCATTTTGGATGAATTCTTATATCCACCATTCGCCTGGTTACTCCTTCATGAATTTGTAAGACAGTTTTGCAGGTTAAGCTGGTAAAGAAGCCTCGTGTTGGACACCAACACACCAGTATCCCATATGTGAACCAACCTCCAAAACACAACATGTGTTAGTGTTCTCAACAAGATATGCTTTACTTTTCACTGTCAGCATCTCCTTCAGGTGGAATTTACTAAATACACCATATGAAAGCTAAAGCAGTTCAGTTCTAAAGTTAAAACGAAAGCAATCATTTATCAATGATTGTAAAACACTGGAAAAGTATCTCTGTCTGCCAGCAGGTCAAAATGAGAGCTTCCTCTCACAGAACAATCATTCATTCATCCGTCCTGTTGGAGGTCTTCACTGCATCCCAAGCAGAATTACTGAATAGTAAATCATTTGTATTCGCAATTTTTACTTTCCTTTCTTTAAAATTCTTTAAAAAATATATATATTTTGCCTTTACTGAGGGATGTATGGAAGCTTGTTTCCACCACAGAATAAAAAATAAAAAAGGTAATACCTTTTAATCTCACAATTTTTACCCTTTTTTTTTTTTTTTTTCGCAATAGTGAGTTAATATCTCACAATTCGGACTTTATAACTCCGAGTTTAAATTTCACGATTCTCAGAAAAGGCCAGTATTGTGTCTGGAGATATAAAGAATGTCAGAATTGGGAGATATAAAGTCGCAATTGCGAGTTATAAAGTCTAAATAAGTTCGCAATTCTGACTTATAACTCGCAATTGTGAGAGAAAAAAGAGAATTGCGGAAGTTGGAATTGCGGAAAAGTTTGAATTGTGTGATATAAACTCAGAATTGCAAAAAAAAATTCAGAATTGTGAGAGAAAAAGTTGCAATTACCTTTTTAACTGTGAGTTTATATCAGAATCTGGAGAACAAATCTGAATTGCGAGTTCTAAAGTCAGAATTGTGAGAAAGTCCAAATTGTGTGATATAAACTCGCAAAAAAAGTTTCTCGCCATTCTGAGTTTTGTATCTCGCAATTCTAACTTTTTCTTCAGATTCAAGCATTGTGAGAAAAAAAGTCAGAATTGCATGATAAAAAGTCACAATTACTTTTATTTTGATATTCCGTGGCAGAAACAAGCTTCCATAGGGGAAGTGCTGTACTGTGTGTGTTGCTTTTCAGTTACCATCTCTCTGTAGTTAAAGTCTATTGATAATGGAAATCCCTTTTTCTTTTTTTTAGATAAAGTGCTGTGCTACACATTTAGGTGAAAGATTTGTGCTTCAGTTTGTAGATAAGGGTAGATTAAGCATGGGAAGTGTAGACTTCCTCAGACTCTGGATGGTTCATTGGTTCAGGGCTGCAATTGCTAATGTTGTTTCCTACCGTGAGAGGGCTATTTCATTATTTAAAGCAGAGCACTTGAATAATACCCTCAATTCTCTTCTAAATGGACCATGACCCATGCAGTGCCTGGCAATTTATTCTGTGAACAAAGTATTTCGCATTACGCTTAAAAAGTGTTAAGCCTGTTACTCTAGTATAGACCTTATGTAGCCCCGCCCCTTTTCTGTCTTCCGGTTTGTATTTCCACAGCATGAAGGCAAGATCTTACGGATTTATGAATGAGCCGCTTATTTAAAAATCTTCCCGGTCTACTGACATTTGTTATGACATCCGTCGGTTGTCCATTTACAATAAGTAAATCCACTTCACCAGGTAATTCGAGCGCGATGCCATAGAAATATACAGAGCTACTGCAAGAATGGAAGTTCAAAGTAAAAATTTGAATGCACGCTTGTTTCTCTTGCACATAATAAGATCTATACCTGTCCACATCTACCAAACAACAGATGCACTCTACTTTCTGAAATGTAGTCTGACATAAATAGAGTCTCCTCCCCATGTTATAGGCCTAAGAAAAAAAAACTTTTCTGACAATCTCCAATATCAAATTGATTTGAATAAGAACTTGAAATATATGAAAAAATTGGGTTTTTAAATAAAATGCTAAAACTATATAATCTGTGGCCTAATGTTTAGTTCATGCTCTGATATATCAGCGCTCATGTGGGCAAGATGAGCTCAAGTTTGATTTGTATACCATATCCTCCCACTTTTCCTCATCAGGTTTTCTCAAGTGTTTCTGTCCAACAACAATAAAAGGCCAATGAATGATTGAATTTTTTATAAATTATAATAAAATTAGGTTAAATTAATTCGATTGTGGCTCAGAATCAGGCTTAAAAACAAACTGAATTGAAACAAACTCAGGAAAACAGTAATATCAGATCCAAAGTTTCAAGGTCCAAAAAGGACACAAACGTTGCGTGAAAGTAATCCATGGTGGTTTCTGAATCGATGCAATCACTTTGTATGATGAACAGACCCAAATTTGATTATTCACCATCAAATCAAATCACACAACGACATCAGAAACATCAAACCTCATTGGTTCTTATGATATTGTTGGTCAACATATTGAATCTAGGCTCTGTCTTTTTGGCTAAAGGGAAGAAAATGTGATTTTGTAGTGTAAGGGGAATCGGCCCCAGCGTCCCTGCGACACTTCATAGGACAAGTGGTTTGGAAAATGGATGGATTGTAGAGGTGTAGAAACAATTTTCACCCAGAAATTGCTAGTAAATTTCACGATTAATTGCAAAGAAATGACATAACATCGAATTAAATGTGAAATTTTGAAGTAGAACGACTGAAATTGTGTTCCCTTTCGAGAGGTTCCTCCTATTGCGTAATAGCTTACGCTATGGGAAAACTCCTTTTCTCGAGAAATATTGAAGTCTTTATGTAAAACGCATTGCAGCTGCACAGCATACAGCAATGAGCGAGGCAGCTCGGTCATTGGCTGTGCTGCGGCAACTGCACGAACCTATGACGGGGCGACTCTGAACCCGCTTCCAATGAGCGTGCTTCGCGCCCACGCGCGTCAGAGCCCGCCAAGATGGGCGTGGCCAAGGGCTATATATTGGGCGCCCCGTCGTCTGAGTTCTTCAGATTTAATCTCCTCCAGCAAAGAACCTTCTCTTCGCTGGATCCTCCGGATTTGTTGGAGTCTTTTCGCCGCCGCCGTCGACAAGCCTACAGCAGGACTGCTTCGAGGACGCCGGCGCCTTCAGCCGCCTTCGATCACCTTTTCTGCTAAGCCATCCGGCGCACATCATCCTATATCCTTTCAAAAGCTTCAGTGTTCGCCCCCGCAACACTTTTCTAAAAGAGCAAATTAACAAGGCGTTGTTTCAAATGCCTTCCTGCGCCTCGTGTCGAGGCCCTCTTCAGGACGGGGATCGTCACATCATTTGTGCCCGCTGCTTGGGACCGGACCACGCAGAGGCTGCCCTTACTCGAGGCGGATGTCCCGAGTGTGACGCCCTGGGCCTCACCGAGCTGCGCGCTCGCTTCGCCGTTTTCACCGCGAAAGAGCCCACCTCTTCCGTGCTGCCATCTCCTCTGGTCGAGCCGCGCAAGAAAAAGCACCGCTCACAGAGGCCGCCGGAGCACGCGGTTTGCAGTGATGTCACGCCGGGCCAATCCCCGCGTGCTTCACCACCACCCGAAGACTCCCCGCCGCCAGTCCAGTTCACACAGGCGGACCAGCACCCCTCCAGCGGAGCGATGGGGCTCATCT